GAGCGCATCACAAAAAACTGACGCAATTTGACACTATCTGATTGTACTATCAATGCTCTCGCTGCGGTGAGCGTAACGGCGCTACTACCATCTTGCGATGTCTTGTCACATAACCAACTTTCTATAGGATACGCAGTGATTCTCCGATAAATAAACTGTGTCCAATACCTGTACATGCAATGCACTGCTTTCGCTGCTGCTGTCATCCGGCGACGAAATCACGTTTAACAATTTGTTTGCTTGTCTCTTCAATCCTTGTGCCTGTTTTTTGTCTCGACGCATTGTAAGCTGTAATGAGCACCTTCCAGAAAAACTTTATCAGAAAGTTCTAATTTAGAAATGGTTTATTTGAAGACCAGTCGGCTCGCCGGCTGACGCCTCCGCTACTCCTTTTTCTCTCCAGGAGTGAAAGAACTAATTCAGAAAAGTAAATAATAAGATAGAGAACGCCAAAAGCCTCGCTGAAAGAGGAAGCGGACCAGCTAGACCTGATCGGATTGAGTCATAGAAAGATGTGCGCCAGCAGGAGCTAGCCATCCGACTCGTATTCCGAATCAACATCGATCGATATAATACTAGGGATCTACCACTAAAGAAGTGTGGAGACGGCAAATAGAGAGATAGCAGGGGTGGTGCATTTGTTTTGCAACATATTTTGGATATCTGAATACCCAACTATTACTATCTGCTATCTACGACTATCTGCTTTTATCGATTGATATCATTACCTGTCACCCGCCATCAATGTCCTTATCACCAAAATTTTTATAGTTTGGTCATGCAAGAGCGCCACCACCTTGGAAAGGTACGACGACTGCGACGTTCCTTATCATGCCCTACTAGTTGTTATCGATTTTTGTCACTCACTATTGATGTCCCCATTTCACCCTTTATATCACTTGCTGGAATCAAAGCCACGCTGATGCTCTGACGCGCGCTGTCAATACGCTGGCCTCACCTTCCTAACCTCCTTATCGAATCTTATCAGCAGTTCATAGTTCCTGTCACTCTCCAAAGATGTTCTTGTTCCATAGCCTATGTAATATCTTGAAATCAGCACCTCATTGATGCTGTCACCCACGTTATGTATACGGTGGTCATCCCCTTCTAATGCCTCTTATTGAATGTCTTCGGCTGATATCACTTCCTGTCTCTCACCGTTAGTGCTCCCGCCTCACTCGCTACATCACTTCCTGGAATCAATGTCTCACTGCTACTGGGACCTGCGCTATGAATTTCGACAGAGAGCCAGACACACACTGTACACACACACATCACAGCACACGCTCATTGTAGTAGTGGGATGAAAATTATGATAAAAATTACCTCTTTGCAGTGGAATATGTCTTGATAATATTTTGACATTTCGCTGGCCTTTCCTCCAAACATCGCTTCAAACCGTTGAGAGTCGCTTCAAGTATCACTTTCAGTAGAAAATAGTTATTGTAGGAGGTAGTTAACGAAATTGAATAATCATCTTCACATGATTCATCGAATACAATCCACGTCAAAAACCGCAGAAATCCCTCTGAACCATGCACATCATGGCCGGAATTATAGGTCGAGACGTTGCGACCATTCCGCAGCCCTTACGGGTCGGCTTAATACAAGCCTCTCCCTTCGTCTCCTTACCCTTCGATTTGTTGTTTTTTCCAGGGCACGTCCTTGCTGTTGGGGAGAATTTTCCGAGAACTTTCCAACTTTTTTCTCAGAAACCCAAATGCTGCTGCTTCGTCCAGACCGGACCTGACATAAACTGGCCCCTTCAACGTTCACGACGTGATTCAGCATGAGATGTTTCACGACTGTGAAAACGCACCCCGGCCCTAGATGAAATATGGGTGGTCTTGGACCTCGAGCCAAAACTCACAATCGTCAATTTTGTATGAAGATGAGAAGCCGCCCGAGTTCTACCATGAGGAGTTACGTGGGCGCAAGTGGATGATCATCATAGCAAAGGATTCCCACACTGTGGCTTTCAGGCGGCTCTATACAGAGAATAAAATCGTCGCTGTCGGTGTATATTGCCTGTTCCTCGGCAATCAGATCGACAAATGGATGATACCACACAACTACAAGAAGGCCACCGTTGCTCGTCATAGTGCCAGACCCCGAGTAACTGTATTGTAGGGCAGTGCTGGGACACAAACAATACTGAGACCTGGGTTCAATCGCCCCATTCGCCCAACATAAAGCCGTTCGATTCCAACTGTTCTGGTCAGTCGAGGGTACTCTCCGACGGCAAACGCTACAATGTTTTGTCATTCGCCGAAATTGGCAGCAACAGCAATTTACTCGCACTTGTTGAAAAATCGAAGGTACCAGAGGTCCAAACGCTTTCGGGGCCTGGGAGCGGGTCATTGGTGAAGGAGGGATCTACTTAACTCAAAGCCAAAATATTACTTTTCTATCTGTTTTTCTCTTCGTTTTATATGAATGAGATCTTCGGCACTTCTGAATGGGATGACCTATTATATTCGATTTGAGGCGGTCATGTCTTTGCTCAATACGGAACAAGGTGACAGTAGTCGCAGTCGAAATATCTCAAGATTGACCCCGCCTATGCCATGTCCAAATGCCACGCCTACTCCGTCTCAGGGATAAGGAGTACACCGTACTAGATATTTTCACCACCCCCACGGTGAGACATACCCAGTTGCGGAATGATGGTGACCTCAACTCACTTCAATAGTGCAACTCGTCTGTCTACCTCATCAGCAATACGTTGCGAAGCTTCAAGTTCGCCCAACTCCTGTTCTTCCATGGGATTCTGAAACGGCGGTCGGAGTTGTATGCATTGGAACAATATTTTTTCCCCTACAGCTACTCACCTGAATGCTACTGTCCATCAAACGATGCTCCATGTCGTGATGCATCGTTTGCATTTTCCAGTTATGCTGCCAATCAGCGGGCGACTGAACGAGCTCAGTTAGAAAAGAAAAACGCTTGGTCACAATTTAGAGGAGGACCGTTGCGGGAGGCGATGGTGCAGGTGACCCCGCTCGCACGATGAACGTGGGATTTGCCGCGAACGTTTCTGCTGTTGACGATCTGCGACAAACTGCGTACGAATTCAGCTCAGAGCTTTGACCCTTAGGAGTCGCATGTCACTGAGCTGCGCGGAAGAATGTTCAGCATAGCTTGCCTCGATAAGATTCTTAGTGCCTCATTCTGCACCAACGTTTGAAGGCATATAGCACGATATGTTGGTACTCGGTCTAAACTGCTGGCAAGGTGCTATTCAGTGGGTAAGTGGCGAACAAACCAAGTGAAATGGTCAAAAACCTGCGAAGAAAAGCTTACGTTCCTAATGACACAAGAAGCAATTTCGAACGAGTTCCCCGTAGGCATCTTGCCAGTAACCGCCACGTTAGTAGGAGTGCATGTATATATATGTAGTCATACACATCTGCGTGCAGCCTGCCGCACTTCATATCAATCCTTCGGCTTCATATTTTACTTAGCGATAAAGTGACATTTGTGAGCGGCGGCAGAGGGGGGGGGCGTGTGGGCGTCCCGGGTCCGGTAATGTTTGCAGCTTGATAGGGCGCTAGGTTCTTGAAAAGGCCTACCACAAGCCTGCTTGAGAGCGCGGAATTCCTTCCTGTCAGGCTAATAATCCTATTCGTCTTAGACTTATCATGCGAACTGCCTTCAAGCAGAAGTTCGCGATGACTGCCTTCGAAGTCCACCTTACAGCGAAAAAGCAATTTTACCGTAGGAGCGCCGTGAATAGTGCTCATTGCATGGGGCCAGCTGATTGACTTGCCGCCAACACCGGCGCCTTTTTCGCTTTGTACTCGTACAACAGATTGAGGACAGACAGAGGGGGGGGGGGTTCTGAATAGAGGCGTTGCCGGCATACCTTTCTGCATTTCCTCTGCACAGACGAGACCCGTAGCAAAACCACAACCTACGCTATCTATCGCGAACCACTGACTTCTCGGGCCAAGAAACGAGAAGGAAACTGGATTACTATGGAAACCCCTCACAAATTTATTAGAGTTTTGGGACAATCCTTCCTATAAGGGAAGCCTGGAATTATCTGAATTTTGTAGGTTATTCACATCACATTACCCATTTAATTACGAGGTAAGCTAAAGGAGTTGCAAAACGTCATTACAAACCTGCGTTGCAGTTGATGCACCACTTTCACTACTGAAACCGCTCAAAGAATTCACTGACGGTGCGCGACGAGGACTTCAATGGAAATTGGAGGGCTAGCGGTCTGTCAGCTCTGCAATAATGACCTAACTATACAGCAGGGTCTCTCTGTTCGATAAGAGTGGCTTTGCTATTGAACAATTTCAAATAAACGACTCATTTTCATATTTTAACTTCCAGTCATGTTTTCACTATCACCAGGTGCTTCAGTGGAGAAAACACGATGGTTCAATCTAGCCAAATCATGCTCTCTAAGTTGGAGTACAGCGGAAAGGTGGCATCTCGATGGGAAGGATGTAGACGAATAGACATGACGCGGCTTCGCCCCGTTATATAGTGGCCCCACACCCGGCAGATATGCCTTCATGTATGTGGACAGGGTGTGCCTCACGGACACGTGTGCACACGCCCGCCTAACAGGCCGCGCGTTCGCGTTGGTGAGTGGAAACGTCACACAATATGTAAGGGATTCAGCAGACAAGCAAAGAGTTTCGGCTGATTGAGGACAATTTGGCTGCCTCCCCACTGACTATGCCACCTGTCAATTTCTGTAGAGCCATGTGATAGCAGGAGGTCGTTAAGACCTGATAAGAGTTTACAAATCTCACCACGGTGTGAGGTTTATTTACATAGGAACTAGCGAAAGAGCAAAACGTCCCAAAAAGCGCCTTCTCCCCATATTGACCCGTTTTTTTTAATAACCATGCTTATCGCAGCTCCGATGCGATCGGAACAAGGAATTCGTGGTCACATGACGGCAATGAGGAAACGAGCTTATCCTCAGATCTGCAGAAAGCTCTTGTTGCATCTTGCTCTTGCTGATGGAGTTTTAGCTTATCGACATGCAAAATCTAAGAAAATTCAATAAACCATATAATACTTGACATACCTCAGTTGCGCCTCAGATGTCTTAAACGGTGATGCCTCAGATGCCATGCCCGCAGGGACGCTGCGCCGACTCTCTCTATGCGCCAATCATTTCCTATGCACCTTTTGAACCTTGCTCATTCAGAGAATATTCCATTTCTTCCCAGCCCTCTTCTGACCGAGTGTTTCAGTCTTATCATGTCTATCGCCATTATTAAGTCAGGTATATATCACTATTGTTTAATTACCCAAGTTTGAGGTGAACATAAATCTGCATTGCTCGACTTGGAGATAATATTTCGTGATTCTCCTCGCCGTGTGCCAACAGTTTCATATTTAAAATCGCTGTCGAACGAACAGTAAATGATTCCCAAATCGAGGATGCGTGTAGTTACCACATTCAAAGATCGAATCATCAGCTTTTTACTGCTGAGTTTGCTTTATACACTGTCACCGCACTCGGTTTATACTCATAGCGCGTTGAACGAACCAGCAACGGAGCCGTGCCGCTTTTCGTCACCTGTGAAACAAACTTTAATTCTATTAGTGCTAGTGAGGTACCTGTAAAGTGTTGGCGTGTGGAAGCTTCGAGCCCAGTAGAATGTATCTCACCTTCCTAACAATTTCTTCTTTCTCTATAGCCAAAGTGAGATCTTTTAAAGCTCGACAGAAGAACACCGAATGACCGACAGAGGCCGGAAGTTCGTGAAGTTCGCTGACCAGATGATAGACAGATTTGAATGGACGCAGCTTATTGAGCTCTCTGAACAGAGTATTGCTTTGTTGGGCACAGAGGAACATTTGATGCCTAGAATTCATGGGCTCTGAAAAACATATTTGATCCTTTGATGGACTAGTTTT